CATCTCCGTGACTGGAGCCAGTGCTGCTAACATATTCTTATCCTTATACAAAGACAGAGCTGAGTCAAATATCTCAACTAACTAGAGGTTTAAGTGGATCGCTAGGTCTACCCAATGTGTCTTATCCCAGCATATAGGCACATACACATTTCCGTCCTCTTTGAACCATGTAAAATTTTCCTCAGAAACAAACTTTATAATACGATCACCCTATTTGACATGGTTTTTGTTATTCGCTTTACAACAAAAAGACGCGTATTTGCCTTGCAAATAGTTCACGAACCACGAAGACGCAAAAACTAACTTCTCTGCGGAAAGCACATGTGCATACCTTTTTCAATAAAGACATGAGCACCTCCATATGCTGCATACATATCAATTCAAAATAAATTACAAGTCATCTTCTACGATAAAACAAAGCAATCAACTATTCTTTTTTAACTCACCGAAATAGACATTCATTCTTGAGGTTTAGCTAGATTCAGTAGAAACTTGCTGTCAATCACAAATCCTTCTTCGGTCACATGTTTCATATAACAATACAATGTCATTAAAATAAACTGTACCAAAATACAATTAATCACAAAATAAAAATAACTAAAAAATTGTTACTCACAAGTTGTTACTATCAGCGTTGCCTTGAAAAAGCTATACTCAGCTTTGTCCACACAAGGTACAAGATCCATCACTTCTCTCTTCTTCCTCAAACTAAACTGTTTAACCAAACCCATCTCCAACTCAGACGGATCAATCCTCTGGCTAGGTTTTGCTAGGGAAGAATCACTTAATAGAACTGAGTCTGACGCCGCCACCTCACACTCTTCTGACCCATCATCAACACTCTCTGGTTTAGCAACACTCTCTTCTTTATCATCCTCACCAACGATCTCCAAGTTCTCTTATAAAACCTTCTTTACTGTACAATCCATTTTCATGCGCCATATTCTCCATCTCCATAGCCTCTTCTTCAATCTCCGGCAGTCATTCAACCATAAAGCGTCAAATAATAACATATATACTAATCACTTAATCATAAAAACTAGTTACTTAAGCATATAGCATACTGTCTCAACATTCTTATCTTTCAATGCTGCCTCACGCGCCACTTTCTTCATCTCCCTAGGCTTAGAATTTTCATCCTTCATTGCATCCTCAACTTCATATGAAACACCTCTTAAATTGTACCAAAACAAATAACTCAAATTAGTAATTAGCGAATCGTGAATGACTATAACAACAAAATAACCAAACTCTAACCTCAATAGAACTAAGATTGCACTACATAATCTCTTATTTACTAGGTCGTTTTTTCCGTTGACTGGATTTAACTATACTTCAAGATAACCTACAAATACTACTCCTTCTACCACCCTTACATCTCTTTTTTAACCTTTCTATCTCTTTCCTATGATCGGCTACCTCTTTCAGGAAAATATTTTTCACCTCATCTAACTGAGATTCCATCCATCCTTTCAAATTGGCTGCTACTCGAGTCACGGGTTCAAAATATGTCTCTATTCTTTGTTGTTTCCTTCTAGACGCTGACTTCTTCAACTTCTTACTTTTTTGTTTCATATTAACATTATTTGCCTCTTTTACCGCAACACTCTTCCCTTTCCTATCCACAACATGTCTTTCGTGCTCAACATCCGTTGTTCTAACTTCCAAGTGTACATAATCTACTGCAACAATACCTCCAGGCCAAACTGTTTTCTCAAACACATACCCTCCCATTATTAGACCATGCATGTACAGCACACTCCTATCTCTGTCTTGATCATACCAATCACCCCAACCATCATTCTCAACCCCCACATGGCCAAGTTGTAGCACTGGTGTCATTAACAACTACAACAGAACAACAAATTAAATACACTTACAAAGGTAAAATATATTGTTTAGAACTAAACTTTTACCATTATTTTCTCCTTATCATTCTCAATGTAACGCCCCACAAATCAAAATTGGGAATTTTGTTGTGT